CCGGCGAGAGAGAACCATGGTACTCAGCTGCTCCCAACTGGAGAAGATATGATGGAGGTAAGGAGGCAACCAACTCGGGCCTGGACCTATGGTAAGATCTAGAGGCGAAGGCCTGGTCGACTGCCTGAGAGATTAATGCCTGAAGATGCGCAGAGGAAAACGCCCCTTGAGGCTCTGTTGCACTGAGCCCAGCTGCTGTGGGAGTGAAGGTGGCCTCTGGGGCTGATTGAGGAGCCCGAGGTATCAAAGATGCTTGATGGATGTTTGGTTCCTCGGTATGAGGAAAAAATTGTTCCTGATCGTCTCCAGAAGAAGGAAGGTGGCTAGGGATCCCTTCCGGGGACCAGACCTCCTGAGTAGAAGCGGGGAGCCCCAGGGGAAGATCAAAGACCGAGGTCTCTGCCTGCTCCATGCCCATCATGGCCTGCCTCTGCGCTTTGGAGAATTCTTTTTCCAGCGCCTGGTGCCTCCTGTTAGCCTGTTTTTCTGCCAGTTTGGAAAGTTTCGTTCCTGAGATGTTTTTTCCCCTAGCCTTGAGCTTGCTGGCCGCCTCCTGTTTGGAGGACTTATGCCTCCTTTGGCCAGTGGATAAAGGAGTGGTGTCTTGTGGAGGCTGGGGCACTGTGTTGTCAGCCATTATAGGGCGAGATACCTCAGTGTTGTGCTGAGAGAGAACTTGAGCCCTCGTAGCCCAGTATAATATGTGGCTGTGCACCACCTGGCGGATCAGATTAGTACTGGTGGATACAAGTTAAGTCATAGGACTTGTTCCACCCATCGTGCTCCCCTGGATAACTACCAGACCGGTAGTTGTCCAATTGGTGGCCCAGTCGTGTCTATGGCCGCGGCAAAATCACATATGTGATGACAGCCAGCTTGCTCGTAGAGTGCTAGGTGGTGACAAAGCCAAAGACAGTGAGTGTTAGCACGCTCGCGCAGTGGGATGAATCTACGGTGGCGGTAAAATCATGGCCGTGATGACAACCAGCACATTCGTAGCCCACTGAATGGCGACCAGGTCAGTGAACACGAGGGCACCAGTTGAGGCCTATGTTTTATAATGAACGATTGTCTGAGAATGACCACCCCCCCTCGTGTTCCCTCTGGAAGGGATTGGCTCACGGCTATTGAGGCCGTCCAAAATAGCGACCGCAGATGCTGCAGCCTCTGCTAGGTTGAGCCTGGAAAAATGGGCGGAACGACCTGATTATGATGTAGATGGTCGTCTGCCGATTGCCTGCTGAGGAGGGGAAGGAGTGAGCCCTCAGGAGAGATCCGACTGGCAGCGGCGGCACATCACATAGTGGCCTAAAATGGCGGCCACGCTGGTCAGGCCATGAAAAAACTGAAGCGAAAGAGGCCAAGCGATGGCCCCCACAATGACTGAGGGGCGTCAGAAGAAAAGGCCCAGGGTTATAACTAGAAAGGGAAGCTGTGAGCCCGCTGGAGAAGGCTGATTGGTGGCGGCAGCAGCGGCTCGCTACGCGGCAGCCAAGATGGTGGCCACGACAGTCCAACCACGAAGAAAAGGCCAGCGAAGGCCTCTGTAACGACTCAGGAGAGTGGAAGTGAGTTCTGATCTCTTAGAAAAAAACCCAGGGCTGTAGCACTGATCGCAGCGCTGACGTGATGTGAACGGAACGATCGGCTCGAGTGTAAAAGAGCGGAAGCCTCCACTCTTGTCACTGGAGCTCTGTGAAAATCCCTCAAGCCTTCAGCCAGTCAATCTGGGGCAGCACTGATTCCAGTGCTGTTAAGATGACCGTGGAGATCAAGGAAGAAGGATCCAAGAGTGGGATAAATCTAACACAACCTGCTGCTAAGCTGGGAGCCAAAACTGTCACGTCCGTCTGGGCTGCAGACTAAGTCGAGACTGGGAGTGTCCTGGTCGAGGAGGGGCGTGACAAGTTTGACTGACTTAGTCTAATGGGCAGGAAGACAGAGTTAACCCATTCGTGGATTCTCCATCTCCTATGCTGGAGAATACAAATTACCAACTTTTCAAAATATTTCAGTAGTTTAACTTACTGAAGTTAAGTTAACTTCAGTAAGTTAAATTTTCAATTCATTTTGAAAATATCACATTCTGAATTCCAGAAAGTGAATATCAGAATGTTATTATATTTATCAGTTATTCTTGTTGGCCTGTTAGGGGGTTCATAAAAAAAATGTTCAAGTAAGCTGCAAAAAATTTAATATCAGTGTAATCAAGGAGACTTGCTCAAACAAATGTCTATTTGTTTCTTTATTATTTCACTTAAAATAAGCAAAAGAAATCAGGATTCTGAAGCATCTCTAAAAGAAACTACAGTCATTCCCACTTTGTTCACTGTGCTCGTTTTTCAGGGAAAAATAAGAGTCACACTCAGAACAAAACAATGTATATCAGCCACTGTAGCAGCCACTATAGGAAGCCAAAAAGATCAGATTATCTTCAACCATGCAAGCTCAATGGTTGATTTCCCCATGCTAGCTATCAGGCTAGCTACCATAAGTTTGTGGAGAAAAAGTATTATATAAATAAAGCATGGTTCTCAGTTACTACAGTGTATAAAGATGAGTGACAGTCCCTTTGTTAGTAATAAAATTAATATTTGTAAACCAATGTTACCAATAGTATATCTTATACTAGCTTTCCATTAAACAAAAATATTGTGAAATAGCATCCCAACCTTTGCATTTAGATTTGTACTTTATTCTGTAAGTATCTTCAGATAAGAGTTAACATCCTTCTGGGCAAGGAAAAAAAACCAAGAGTAAAGTTTAAGATTTTACAAGATGCTCGGGAAAGAGGAGGGCTTAAGGCGCCTAACTTGAAATTATATTATGATGCGGCGGCCCTAACAGTGATTAGTGACTGGGTTAACTTAACAAATAAAAATGTACTATCTCTTGAGGGATGGGACTTATTATATGGATGGTACGCATATTTGATTTATAATAAAAAAGTAGATCAGGCTTTCAAATCCCATATCTTAAGAAGTGCCTTATTGCATGTCTGGGAAAAGTACTATTATAGGTTAAATTATAAAATACCAATTTGGGGGATTCCTGGACATGCGATAGAAGGGGTATCTAGGGGTGTGAATTTGGATAGGATCTCTTATAAGGAATTATTTTGATTGGTAGGGAGTGATTGGCAATTAAAATCTTTAGTTGAGCTAAAGCAAGAAAATATACAGTCTTGGTTTCAGTATAATCAATTAGTGGTTAGGTGGAATTTAGATCAAAAGGTTGGTATTACTTTAGGGGATGAGAATTTGGTAAAACAGATTAAAGATCAAAGAGAATTTATAAAGAGAATTTATAATGTTTTAATAGAATTGGATTCTGAAATGGATCTAATTAAAGATTGTATGGTAAAGTGAGCTCAAAATATTCAGGAACCGATCCCATTGGATACATGGGAGATAATTTGGGTTAGAAATGTAAAATTTACACAAAATTTAAGATAAATTTTTTATAAAATGTTTTACAGGTGGCATTTGGATCCCAGAAAGCTGTCTTGTATGTATTCTGATTTACAGCCCAAATGTTGGAGATGTGGTAGCTTGGATGCAACCTATTTTCATATTTGGTGGACTTATAGAAATATAAAAGCTTTTTGGATTAAAATTTGGTGGAACATTCAAAAGATTTTTAAAAGAAAGATAAAGTTTACCCCTCAATTATTTTTGTTGAGTATTATTGTAGATTTTGATGTTAAAGAAACTAATTTGATGTTGAACTTAATAACAGCAGCAAGGCTATTGGTAGGGCAATATTGGAAGAAAGAGTCCTTGCCTACTATAGATAGAAGAATGGACGTTTAAGGTGTCATATTTAGCAGAAATGGCAAAAAATTCTGCCTATTTGAAGGATCATACACAAGAAAGATATATTTCGGTTTGGAGAAGATGGATAGATTATATTCAGAATAAATATGGGATTAAAAAGTTTCATCTATCTTATGAGTAAATTTTAGATTAGTATTGATAGTATAATAACTCATTTCAGATTTGGTATTACTATGGTTTAATTAATATTGACTTGTTTATATTATTCTTTTTGTTTTAATTTGTTTATATTTATCTTAAATGGGAGTAAAATATTTTATGGATTTGGTTACTTATATAGTTGGGTAATTTTAATTAGAATTTGATTATTAATTTGTAACCCTGTACTCAGCTCTACTAAAAACCCTCTACTCAGCATACTAAAAAGCAGAAACATCACCCTGCCAACAAAAGTGCGTATAGTCCATGGTTTTCTCAGTTGCAGTGTATGGCTGTGAAAGTTGGACCATAAGAAAGGCTGAGCGCCAAAGAATTGAGGCCTTTGAACTATGGTGCTAGAGAAGACTCCTGCGAGTCCCTTGGACTGCAAGGCATTCAAACCGGTCAGTCCTAGAAGAGATCAACCCCGACTGCTCTTTAGAAGGCCTGATCCTGAAGTTGAAACTCAAATACTTTGGCCACCTAATGAGAAGGAAGGACTCACTGGAGAAGGGCCTAATGCTGGGAAAGATTGAGGGCAATAGAAGAAGGGAACGACAGAGAATGAAATGGCTGGATGGAGTCACTGAAGCAGTAGGTGTGAACTTAAATGGACTTCAGAAGATGGTAGAGGACAGGAAGACCTGGAGGAACATTGTCCATGGGGTCGCGATGGGTCGGACACGACTTCGCAATTAACAACAACAACAACTCAGCTCTGGGAAGTGGGGGGAGGGTTAGGGGTGGATGGGTTTTGGGAAATTGTATACTGTATAAAACTTTTCAATAAAAAAAGAGTTAACATCCTAAGATTTTTAAGGGAAAGATTATTAAAAATAACTGCAATTAAATATAAATAAATAAATAAATTGCACATAGTATCAAATGTAATAATAGTCTTCAATGATGCAAAACCCTTAAGTTATCCAAGAACCATTTTTGGAGGATTGGGATTTTTAACTTAGCTAAACTATATAAAATCTTAACTTCAAATTTGTATTATTTGAAGAGGAAATGCAAACTTACTACTTGCATAAGAGCGACTGTCATCCTCACACATTTTATTCAACTGTTGATACTCTTCTTGTGCTAGCTCAAATCGCTGCTGCTTAATTTGATAAATTTCCATCTTGGCATTAAGTGCTTCCTGAGCGACAATTAAATATTCCTTTAACATGCGCTCCTGTTCTCTTCTCCATTGCTCTCTTGGGTCTTCAATTTGTGTGAGTTCTAATTAGAAAAAAAAAAGAGTTCCAACATGTTAAATGAAAAAACAGGGAGATGTTCAAAATTCACATATTATGGCAACTAAGTCATATTTTTATTTTAAAAAAGAAAACTAATGTCCAAAACTATACCAACATTTAATTTAAACTTAAAAAATTGTATTCTATCCAGTCTACTAGGATTTCAAAGATATGTACTTTACAACCAAGCTACACAAGGCGTAATGCTAAATAGATAATGATCTGAATCAAACTAACAATTAGATATAATTTTATCATTGCTTCCATAACCTGCTCCATTTCTTCACTTTTTGCTCAACTTGAAGATACTGGAATATTTACTTTATTTTGTAAGTCCTTGGCTTACAACCATTAGTTTAGTGACCATTTGAAGTTACAATGGCACTGATGACCATTTTTCACACTCACGACCATTGCAACATCCCCATGGTCACGTGAACAAAATTCAAATGCTTGGCAACTAGTTCATATTTACGACAGTTGCAGTATTCCAGGGTCATGTGACCACCTTCGGTGATCTGATAAACAAAGTCAATGGGGAAGCCAACTGTGTTACTAACTTAAAAACTGTAGTGATTCATGTAGCAACTATGACAAGATCATAAAATGGATCAAAACTCACTTTACAAATGTCTTGTTTAGCAACATAAATTTTGGGCTCAATTGTAGTTGTAAGTCGAGACTACCTGTATAGTTTCTTATCTTGTCCTAATTGGAAAACATAGTTAATTTTAAATATATTATATCTGAACAAGCCAAGACAATGATTCTCAATTTGTCTTTTTCTTACAAAATACTATTATAAATAGTTTTGATACAACAACAAACTGCAACTACAATTAGTCCCTGACTTAAAATTACAAATGGACCCAAAATTCCCATCACAATCATTGCGATTGTAACTCAAGTCGAACCTCATTTTATGATTACTTTTATGGTGGTTACTAAGCAAGTCACCGTAGTCATTATATAAATCACATTGTTGTTAAGCAAATTACATGGTCATTAAGTGAATCCTGTTTCCGCAATGATATATTTTGCCAGAAATCACATGATTATTATAGACACTGCAATTGGTCTCAGATGCAAGCTAGTGCAATCATATGATTGCAGGGAGGTGTGAGGGTTGTAAATGCGAGTATAGATCATAAATTTATTTTTCCAAGGCCGTAACTTTGAACCATCATTAAACAAATGGTCGCAATTTGAGGATTACCTATATTGGAAAACTGAACTGGATGTCTCATGATCAAGTCAGAAGTTATACAAATTCAGTCACTGATTTGTTCAAGGTCTTCACTGACCTTGAAGGTTGAACAAGAACTTTCCATAGCAAGATGTCCATATTCATTTAATTAATGCATGAAATGTGAAAAAGTCCATATTTTCCAAATATTTAAGTGGCAAGGAGCAAGGAATACTGATCAGTTATATCCCTTGCAATTTTATTGGTTTTTTAATTCTTAACAAAAAGTACTCAGGACACTCCGTGGTGTTTGGGTAATCAAACATTCAAAAGTGAAAACATATATAAACAACTCAACTCAATACATTCACTGTCCCCTCTCTATTTCCCTCAAATAGCATAATACGTCTAAAATATTCCATTTCTAATTTAAATTTCTATTACTGCTAAACCTCTTTTAAAACTTTATCAGTTTACAATTACCATAATCAAATTTAACTTTAAATCAACAAGTTATCAATTCAGGTATCCCTTCCAGATATATTCTAATTCTTAATTTCTCACATCCCTCATTTTATCACCAATCTCATTTATTTCGTCTTCCACTACACAATACATATCCTAATTAAAATAAAATATTAATCTACCCTATACATATATAATCCCACAATCGATCAATCTCTTTAAGATAACAAAATGTTAAACCTTAAATCATTTCAATTCATTAAACAAAATTCAAATTTCATTCAATTGATTATCATGCCTTATCACATCTATGTTACCATACAAAAAGGTCATCTTACTAATTTAAAACACTCAGTTAATTATTGAAACCATCCAAATATAAAAAATCAACATTTTTTTCAATTCCAATACATAATATTTTTCATCAAAATAAATCTATTATTCCAAAAGGTACATTCTTAATCTATTTAAAATATCTATTCTAATAATCTCTCTCAGCTGAAAACACGAAGCTGAAAACACCAGCCTGAAGATGACGAATGGGACTTCGTCGAAACGTCGCCAAGACACTTCCAATTTTACGCGGGAGAAAACCCGAACAACCAAAGACCTACATACAAACACCAGCGAAAACCTCAGAAAACACGAAGTTGAAAACACCAGCCTGAAGATGACGAATGGGACTTCGTCGAAACGTCACCAAGACACTTCCAATTTTACGCGGGAGAAAACCCGAACAACCAAAGACCTACATGTATGTATGTATGTATGTATGTATGTATGTATGTATGTATGTATGTATTCTTACTTCTAACTCTGTCTTAATCCTTAAAACAGTCCATAAATCCAAGATTGCCTTTTAATCCATTACACAATTTTAAATTTCTCTTTTCAGTCTGATTCTGGCTTTTTTTCTGTGCCAGACAGGTTTCCATAACCAAGCTTCCCTTTCAACCAGTAGATCTATTTTTGTTGCTTGCAGTGGCCTTTGAAAGGATAGGAATCCCATTCTCTGCATTAGGCATCTATTTCTCTCATCCTTAAAGCATCGTTGCTTTGTAGTCAGATGTAGTCTGGACATCAGTTTGAATGTTTGAAGTGAGATCTCTGGGTCTTAATTCTGTAGTAAACTCTTTCATTGTAGCACATATTTCTGCAGTAGCCTCATAAATCTTTTCCAATATAAGTTTACAGTTTAATTGTAACTGAGGTTTCTCCATTTTGATAGTAATTAAAAAGGGTCTCTTTTTTTTGTGGAGGCTATATTTAATAAAAGTTAGGCAGTGTCCACCCCCACAATTCCCACAGCTGCACGGCTTATCTTTTCTCTTCAAAAATAATTTGAAGGTCAGATCTATTCCATCTTCAAAGAGTAACCAGAAGTTGCAGTATTAAGTTTTCGCCACTAGATGTCCTCAGTAGATTAAAAAAAGATCTTTTCCAGACACCATTTCCTTTTTTCTCTCTTTTAAAGTATAATGTGAAAAAAGAAATAATCTTCCAGCATAAGATAATAATACAGTTCTTAGAAAGAGAAAAAAAATTCTGTACCCCCCAAAAATATGGAAATAAAATATAGTATTTAAAATTTTGTTATATTTTTATACAACGCCTTTCTTCCCAAACATGTAGAAGCTGCTTTTTCAAGCCAGGGAAATAATTCCAACAAGGCTCTTACAGGCACAAAAAACAAAAGGGTCGTTGTCTTACCTGAACGCCTTTTCTCAGCACGGATAATCCACCAATGGGTTGAGACTGTATTCCTGCCCAATCAGATCAGTCAGCCAAAGTTGCCACGCCCGTCCTGGACCACGAGATTCCCAGTCTTGACACGAGCGAAGCCACTGACTGACACCAAGACGTTTTGGCTCAACTATTTTGTCCCTAGCTATTATGGTCTGCAAGGGTGGGTGTGGATTATCCATCTCCGGGCTGAGAAAAGGCGTTCAGGTAAGACAACGCCCCTTCTCCAGCACTGGAGATGGATAATTCACCAATGGGACATACCAAAGCCTATTGTCCCTCGGGTTGGGGAATAGACTGGTTCTGTATGGAACTTTGGTTTAGCACCTGCTGAAGAACCCTCCTACCGAAGGAGGCCTCTGCAGAGGAGTATTTGTCAATTTTGTAATGGCGAATAAATGGAGATGGCGATGCCCAAGTGGCTGCCTTGCAAACCTCCTCAATGGAAGCCTGTGTGGCCCATGCTGCCGAGGTGGCAGCACTCCTTGTGGAGTGAGCCGTGACATGTCTGGGGACCGGCAAGGCCTCTGCCTGGTATGCCCCGGCGATGCATGCCCTGATCAACCTGCCAATGGTGGAGGAAGAGACCTTCTGGCCCCCAGAGGAGGGGTGGAAGGATATGAAGAGCGCCTCTGAATGGCGGAATTCCGCTGTCCACGAAATGTAGTACCTTAGTGCCCTGCGGACGTCTAATGTGTGCCATTGTCGTTCTAGGGCATGCCATTGTCGTTGGATTTGGACAAAAGTCCGGAAGGACTATTTCCTGTGACCTGTGGAAAAGGAAATTGACCTTTGGGATGAAGGAAGGGTCTAGTCACAAGACTCCCGTCCCTGTGAAAACATCACAGGTCTTTCCTTGTTGAGAGTGAGGCTAACTCGGATATACGACGAGCCGACGTAATTGCTACCAAGAATGCTACCTTATGGGTTAGGTAGTGAATGTCGCATGTTTTTACTGGTTCGAACGGTGGCCTGGTGAGAGCTTGTAGAACACGTGGTAGCTCCCACGAGGGGTACCTGTGTACAGTTGGTGGCCTAATGTTTGCAGCCCCTTTGAGGAAGGAGCAGAGTAGGGGATGCTGGCCCAAGGGTTCCCCAGGGTTGCCCGAAAGTATTGTTGAGAGGGCGGCGACCTGTCTACGCAGTGTGTTTGGCGCTAGTCCTCTCTCTAGGCTGCCTAATAGGAATTCCAGAATGTTGGGAATTGTTAGCTCCCTGAGGGACAGGCTCCGTTCAGAGCAACATGATTGGAAACCTTTCCACATGGCCTCGTAAATACGGTTCGTGGATGGATATCTTGGAAGCCTGTATAACCCTGATTACTCCTTGTGAGCAAAGTCCCCTAGTTAGGATTGACCGCTCAAGTGCCAGACGGCTAGTTGTAGCCATTGTGGCTCCGGGTGAGAGATCGCCCCCTGACTGAGAGAGATCTTCTCTGGAGGAATCCGCCATGGATCCGCTAGAGAGAGACTTCTCAGGTCTGCGAACGAAGGCCTCCTTGGCCAATATGGGGCCACAAGGATTACCTCGGCTCGTTCCTGGAGGAGTTTGCGGGGGAAGAGGTAGGGGGGGAAATGCATATAGGAGCT